TTCCTGTCAACAAGGCTCAGTAGGCTAGGACTATCTAGAAACATTTATGAGCCACAGATCCTAACATCTCCATGCATCCTCCGTGGCTGCACACACCACTGGGTTTGCAGTGCTGTGAACAGACAGCTGTCCAGATGGGACACTCCCTGGTGGGCTCATCACTGAAACCTCATCTGTCAGCCTATCTCCTTCCTAGTCCTTCACTCCTTCAGTCATCCACACCTCTTTCTGGCTGATGACATTTTTGTACACATTTCTGCAGTTTTGTCCTGTCAGTGCAGATCCACCTCCATGGAGGCCAGCAGAAAACTGCTGCTAGCCATCATAGGGACAGCTTTTCAGCAACCCCTGCATTTGGGAACTTAGCCTTGGCTTTTGCTGAAGTTAGAGGGAGCCAGCCAGAGCCTTAAAGTTGGGAATCACATTTCAAGGCAGTTTCATTGACTTGCTGAACACACATAGGGAGTTACAAAGTCTTTCTTCTCAATCTGTGATGTAGAGTATGGTGGATAATTCTTTCCCAGCAAGCAGCACACTGGTGATTCATTGCTCTCTCACAGTGACAGAGAACAGTAATATCTACAGGAGTGCTGAGCTTGCTAAATCAATTTTGCAAACTGTGCATGAGAGGAGAGGCAAGAGGTACTGAAAGAAGGAAATATTCTCTCTTCTGGATGCACCTGCTGACTACCAACATGAAATGTGCACTTTCCAGAGTTTTCCCAAGGCAGCACAGCCTTTCAAAATAGCCCCAGAGATTTAAGGTTTGAAGTGATCATCTGTTCTTACTGAAAAGGGAGCAGGGAGTCTGGGATGAGGAGAAGAGGAGCTAGAAAGGTAAACACAGGTTTGTGTGGAAAGAGAAATAAAAACATAAATGATAAAATAGTGAAGAGTTTGAAGGACATGAGGAAAACAGATTAGGAAAAACCAGGCTGAGATGATCAAGAAGAGTTCCAGGGGAGGACTGAATTTTACATTTGAAGATAAAGAATAAAAAATTCCTTACTTTGGTGGAAGTATGTCAGAAGAGGAACTCATGTTAGAAGAAAATACAAATAAAAAATGAAACACTTCTTTAGAATTATGCTGCCTTTTTATTGTGTCAATATGAATAGTGATTTTTGGTACAGTCATGGTTTTTCTGTTTTGTGACTGATTCACTGCATCTCAGATCACAAGGGTTTTTTATGCTGCCCCCTGAATAAGCTGAGTCCATACATAAAACTGAACTATGAAAAAAATGCAGTGTTGATAGACACAACCTGCAGAGAAATACAGGATGTTTGTATCGAGCCTTTGATGGATGGTAGCATTCATCCACCAGCTATGCAACTCTAAATACAGTTACAGAACTCTGTTTTCAAGACTATGGAGTATATGGACTGTCCCCTGCCTATATGGGGTGACAATGCTGTGAAGCATTTTGCCTGTCTGAGAGTGTACACACATGTACTTGCAGCTAAGTAAGTATTTATATATATATTATATATATATATATAACTGGTTTATATACCCTACTACTGTACAGGTACAAAACAATTGCAGGGACATGATCCTGCAGACCTGATGTTGATACAGCTGATTGTTGTTATGGCATTGATCACATCCATTCTGTAAAAGGTAGATTGTGGGCTAATTCTTGTTTCTGTTTTTCTCCTTGGATCCTAACAGAAAATGGACCCCGTCTGCTTGTGGTAGCAGAGCAAGCCAAACTCTTCTCACACCGGGGTGGCAATGTCACACTGCCATGTAAATTTTACCACGAACACACATCAACAGCTGGCTCAGGAACCCACAAAATCCGGGTCAAGTGGACCAAACTCACCTCAGATTACCTCAAAGAAGTGGACGTCTTTGTTGCAATGGGACACCACAGAAAGAGCTATGGAAACTACCAGGGCAGAGTGTTTCTGAGGGAAAGCAGTGAAAATGATGCCTCACTTATAATCACAAATATAATACTGGAGGATTATGGGAGATACAAGTGCGAAGTGATTGAAGGATTAGAGGATGATACAGCAGTGGTAGCTCTGAATTTGGAAGGTAGGTAACACCTGAATTATACTTAAATTCATATTTTTGCACTGTTAATTAATACCTGCTTTTTTCCTCCTAATACTGCAGATAATGTGTTATTAATGATAACTAAGCAGGGAAGTGGAATTGTGTTCTATGGATCTTAGCCTCACAGCCAGTGATTACAAATCAGAAGAACATTAGGATTTCTATAACTTAGGCTAGTCTACAGCATTGCCAACTCCAGTTGAGATCTGGTATGAGGGGAGCCAAAAAAGAATGACTTAGCATAGTATGAAGAACTCCATATGTTTTTAGACTACTTCTATCACTTTACAGAAAGTCTTTGAATGTTTTCATGGTGGACTTAGGCAAAATTATGTTAAATATTCCTCTTATAGCCATTTTACATAACTACTATGTACATATTACATGACATTTGAGGTTAATGAGCCAATACAATTTTTCTTACAAAGAGAAAAATATTGAAGTATTTTTCCAGACACAACAGTTCCTTTTTTTCCAGCTTATAATGACATAAAGTACATCTCTATCTTGCCTGTCAAGGCAACTTTTACCTTTACTCTGCAGTCATGTCCCTCAGCTATATATATGTACAGTACAAAGGACTAGAAACAAAATAGTGAAACAGGTTTAAAGAGAACCAAAAAATCAACTTTTCTTTACTCCTGTGAAATCCAGATAAATTTTATGAGATTCAATGCACATAAACCAGCATTTGGCCTTTTTCCCAAAAACACTGAAATCAGCAATAAACTAAAAGTTGCATGAAGATGTCTCCCTTACCCTTATAGTTACCCAGAGCAATAAGACTGTCTGAGTCATTCTTGGAACCAAATAGATGTCACAGACTTAACTTCTTTAGATCTATTTTTCCATTCCTGTTTGGAGGCTGCTGAAACCTTTCATGTTTGAGTGCAGAAAGGCCCTGCACAGACTCCATGCCAACAGGACAGTTGGTTTAGCTTGCTGCACCCCACATAATCTGACTTTAACAAGAATGCACACTGTTCTTTTCAAATTTAGGAGATAAAGAAAACCGGACGTGTTCATGTCCGGTTTAAGTTGCCTAAGACAGTTTTGAGTGAAGACAGAAATGAGTAGGAGGAAAAAGTGTTTTACTTTATTCTTCTCTGCTAGCCAAAGGCTCTTATGTGATCAGCCTCCTCTTCACTCAGGCAGGCACTGCAGTGGTTGTTCATTGCAACTGTTGTCATTGAGATGAACCACTGAAGAGAGAACAGTTTCTGCTCAGCTTTGTCTAAGGGAAAGCAAGGGTCTGGTCAGCTGCCCAAGCTGCAAGCATGAGCCCTGTGGTCAAGAGAGACAGTGCAAGGTAGACAGTCCAAAAGGGCAAGAGTGATCCACTTCACAGGGTGGCTTCCAGACTAAAAGGGTGTAAATAAAATTCTGTAAGTGCAGCTGTTTACTGCCTGTGAGGAATAGGAAGCGTCCCATAATCCAGGTCAGAAACACCAGACATTTTGATAATCCTCTGAGAGTCTCCTTTCTTCTTCTGTACATACCTCTATCATGCTTCAAGATGTTCCTGATTAATAACTGAATATCTTGTTACCCATCAAATACTGGTATTTCCCTGCATTTTATGGCATTATGTTTTTGCCAAAGTAAAAGGGTTAGAGCTAGTGTAAAATCTTCAAAGTGTTCATCACACCATACATCTGGACCAGATACTGGACTGGTGCCACTTAGCATTGTGCCTCTGAAATAAAATTTCACTAGCTTTTTAAAAGCCAGGAGGTTCCAGTACAAATGCTTCTTGCTGTGCCAGGAGTGCTTGGGGAAGGGGAGATGTTGATGGCTGTAGTAGCAGAATGGGACATTTTGCCTGAGGCTTGGTACAAATGCTTGTGCACATGCAGAGATCCACATTTGTAAGGCAACATTTGATGGATACTAAAGAAAGAAAGCCATGAGAAATCTTTTTTACTGCATACAGTAACGCAGCTGAAAACAGGAGATTTTTCTACCTATTTTACTGTGACTGTTTTGTGATATAGCACCAGCCCACTGGATATGTGTCCTGGCTCACACTTCCTGATATGCACTGATCTCTCTAGCTTACTGCTATTACTCTAAATGTTGTCTACCTCTGAAGTATGCGAACTCCAGCCCCTCTGGTACAACAGCACCACTCCTTCATGTAAAAGCCACCTCCCAAAATTAAATCCACCTCCAAAATAAGGAAATTCATAAGGCTAGGAGGAATAATATTTTTTCAACCAAGTACTTTCCAAAGGAAACAAATATGTTTCCTCAGAGGAAAATATATATATTATAACTAGGGTCTGGCTAACATAAGGAACAATGTATTTTAAATTATTCTTGTCAGGCTTGGGACAGGTGTCAAACTGTTAATTTCTGATGTTTTAGAGTGATGTTTCCTAAGCAGACAGAAAATTTTCCTTCGTGAAACATAACCTTTTGAGAAGAGAGATAAGATGATAGCAAGTATGCCAATGTCAGTTCTGCTTATGGCAACTAAATCTAATGATTCTGGCTCTTAAGTTTCATTGAAGCTTCATTCTAAAATTATAATTATTAAAATGGACTTATATTTACAGCAGACATATGTGGTTGATGAAATGTATTTCTTTGTATGCCCCTGTGCTTATTTTTCTCAGGTCATTTGCAGGTTTATGCAGTGCTGGCTTCGATTGCTATTGGGTAATGCAGGACAGATAAGGAAAAATGAAGTTAAAAAATATATCAGCCTATCTTAACATTTTACATCTGTTAAAAATAAGAAGTTTTATCTCTCAGTGGGAAGGATTTGCATCAGTAGCCTGCTGTCCTGAGATGGTGGCCCTAAGGATGTTAATTGGCAGCAAGAC